ATTTCGTAATGTAAAATGGGGTTTTCAGATTTTTGGAATTTAAGAGATAACCCCTCAAAACAAAAAAAAAAAAACTGAAATTGACTTACCTCAGAATTCTCATCCACCGCCGGCAATAGTTCATCCGTTGAGTTCGGTGTCATGGGACTGGGCGTGGCCATTGTTATCCGATTCAAGGCCACACCATGTTGTTGCATTGTCATGGCCGTATCGCCAATAATGATTTGCGGTTTATATTGACCCAATTGCTGTTGTTGTTGCTGCTGTTGCAAACGGGCCAAGCGCAACTTCATCTCATGACGTATCTCCTTCTGTTGCTGTTCCTTTTCGAAACGCATCATACTATAACTGCGAACGGACGAACTTGTACTATGGACAGATGCTAGACTTGGTCTTCGAGAACCTATTCGATTTTTTTTGGGAAATCCCAAGAAGACAAACACGTCGACAAAAAAAGAGAGAAAGCAAGAGATCAGCCACATAGGGAAAAAGGAAAACGAAAGAGAACAGAAAAAAACGGAACCATAATTAAAACAAAAAAATTCTGTAATTTTTTTTACAGGGTTGGGAGTTGTTTTTTTTTACTCTACTTTATATGGAGAAAAAAAGCATATTGGTAATATTTTTTTTAAAAGCCATAATTTAAAGAAAAATTTGCAAGAATTTTTTTCTTAAACATTTTTTTGTTTATTGTTGGTGGGGGGAGTGTAGTTTTTCGTTAAATATTTAAGGGAGCTGTGGGGGTTTTGTTGTGGTTTATCGGTTTTTTGGAGGGAGTTGTGGGGGTCATTTTTTGGAAGTTTCGTCTTTTATTGGTTTGGGTTTTTTCATTTGAAAGCAACAATAAAGATAAGTGTAAGAAGTGGATGAAAAAAACGTCAAATTATATTACAAAGATTTGGGAGTAGGGGGCATGAAAAGCGAAATTTCGAAATTTTTCAATTCAATTTCCAAATTCATTAAACAAAAATTTAATTTTTTTCCAAGCATTTAATTTTTTGATTTTTTCAATATCATTCTGGGATGCATTCATTAGTTTTAAAATAAAATATTTATATTGAAAAAATATTTATATATGCCAAAAAGAAGCCAACAAAAAAGCTTAGAAGAAGAAGTAGAAATTTATTTTTTTTGAGAAGTAGATTGAAAAAAACTAATAAATTTTGAAGTTAAATAAAATATTGTATTGTGGGATTTTTTATTTTGGTGGGAGTTGAAAAAAGTCATATCAAAATTAGGTGTAGTAGTATTTGTTTTTGTGTGTGTTTGTAACATTTTATAAGTAAATATATATTTTTTATTGTAAAAAATTGGGATTTCAAAAATAACTTTATTATTTAATTACATGCTTCTTAACAAATATAAGCTGGACTAATGACCTGATCCAATTGAAGATGTCTAATTGTAAAATATTTTTTGAAGTACAATGTGTGAATCTATCCAAACCACACGGATATAAATTAGGTTTTACGGCATAAAATATCTTTCAAGAAGTAGCCATTTAAAAATATATATTCAAATCTGGGCTATATGAGAGTATTGCTGGTACATCGATCGGTATATTTTTTTTTGATAACACACTTATCGAGAAATTTATAGGTAACCAGTGAGCGGAACAGTATAGTCGGACGGGCCGACCATGTGATACCCTCCACAACTTCCACGAAAATCGAACTTTGTGTGGTTCTATATTGTAAGCTTGAGCAATATTTCGCGATACTTGCACCCTCTTGACCAACTAGAGGTCAACAAATATTACTAATTTTCAGTACAACACTTTCTAATTACTTGTCCCGAATCCCTTCACCGTGGGTTGTGTTGTGATGTTCGGCTTTCAATTGTGGCCTATAGATCGACACAAAAAAATTAATTTTTTGGTCCACTTTATCCCAATATTATTATCACCAAGGCGTTGTCCTCGACCATTCCTGGATCCTCATGGAAAATTTCAAAGCGATTAGCGTTAGATTTTCGCCCTCTATTGTGGTATGGGGTTACAAAATAGTACATGAATACGTAAACACCTGTAAATGTTTAAGTGTAACTCCCACAACCGAGTACATACGACAATATAATTGTTATCAACCATTCCTCTTGGACTTCTCGGGTCTTCAGGGGTAAATATATACGCTAGAGAATACAAATTTTGTAATTTTTCATTTGACCCACTAAATTTGGTCCGATCCCCTTCTCCATGTAAAAATTCGCGATGTTTGGGCCATAATTACGGCCTCTGGAGCGACAAGAATATCAGTTTTTTGGTCCATTTCATCCCCGAAAAATGAACCGATATTTACCTAAAACAATGAAGACCCTCTGGCCAATTAAGATCCCTGTCCAGAACACATCCTACATGCAAATTTTCGTGAAGATTGGTCAATAACTGTGACTTGTATTGTGTTTACAAATTATAATGGAAAGGACGGACACACATGTCCAGATCGTTTTAGCTAGCCGCGTTATGGCGATCGGTATGGCGATCTAGGACCAATATTTTGCGGCGTTACAAAATCTTGGGGCTCCGTTAATATTTAGGGGATGAAATGTACCGAAATCTTTAATTTGGTCTGGTTTTCAGGTCGCTCTAGAGGCCACTATTATACGTAGAACATAATATATTTTACACCGTCAAGGGGATCTGATCAAATACTTAGAAAGGTCAAACCCCAAAGTGACTTAATTTTCATTTTATGATGTAATTATTCTCATAGGGAAAACAAGCCTTGGAAAGGGTTAGAAAATTGAGGGTTACAAAGTGGAGAGCAAGAGAGTGGAGCTGTTGCGGTCAAGTGGGTGCAAATATCGCGAAATATTGCTCAGAATATAGAACTGAAGAAAGCTAGATTTTCGTAGTAGTTATGTAGGGTGTCATATTGTCGGCCCCGTTCAACTATATTGCTCCGCTCACTGGTTATTAATGTACTTATCTCAAGTTTACACCACCCCTAACAAGGTTAAAGATTCTAGTTTAATTTCATTATTTCAATTATTATTGGTCCACCTTAGGTCCCTCTTAATTTTTTTATTTTACATCTTTCCATCAGATATTATATTTGGTGATATACATTTTTTTGGTATTATTCTCTATATTATTAGTTACGCTTTGCGATCTCATGCCGTCCCGCGTTGCTGCAGTTCCAAGTGGGTGGGTAGTAAAAGTTCAATGTCAAAATTTCGATTTTAACAAAAAATTATACTTATCCCCTTCAATTCCTCAATGAAAGTATGACATTGAGGGAAGTGGATCGCTTAACTATCTCACAACCCATAAAAATTATCAAAAATTACGACAAAAATGTTGATTATACCACAGTCATATATCGTGCTTTAAGAGGTTTTCGTTAATAATATTGCCGTATTTGGGGTTCTGAGAATGAATTGAATAGAGGCCATTACCTTACATCGAAAACGGCAATGAATTGACAGTAACCATCAATTGAGAGCGTTATAACCTACTTTTTTGCCTGCTTTTGAATAATACGACTTTTAGAATATGTGAGTTTAACAAGACGGTGCCACATGCCGCACAGCAAGAGACATTTCCTGGCCGCATATTTTCTCTTCGTGGTGATATCAACTCCCTACTAAAATCATGCGATTTGACTTAATTAGACTTTTTTATGGGGCACTGCGAAATACCGTATTATGGCACATAAATGACTGAGATACCGCCCAAAATGGGGTGAATCGATGAATCCCATCTTTGGACATGATCCAGGTTTGGAAAAAGTATTAAGATTTGCAAAGTTAGGATTAAGGGAACCCTCCCCCCCATTATCGGCTTCAAAAAAAAATAATTTTGTATTTTGATTTAATTCGAACCTACACTAATTCAAGAATGTCTCTATAAATTTTCATGTGAAAATCTCAAAAAATTTTGAAGATATGGCCGATTTATTGTGCTAGCATCAAGTGACGGCAAGAGGGCTTCTCAGACTTAAAACGCATTTTTCTCCAAACAGGGTTTTTGCGAATGGCGGGCACGATAACTCAAAAACTAATAATCCGATCGATTCCAAATTTTGGGACGTTCTGTGAGTGTATAGCTATCGTATGAACTAGTATAAAGCCAATCGGTTAAGGTCTTCCTTATTTTTTAACTTAGCTTGAGGTCAAAAAAAAAATTTTCAAAGTTCCGCCATTTCGTTAATTCTTGTGCGAAGTCAATAATCTCGTTCTCTTTCTAACATCGTTGGATTTTTCGGATTCCGATGTTCCAGTGAGGAGTTAGCATGCCCGCCATCAAAAATAAGCATGCCCGCCATCAAACAAAAACAAAATTTTTTGTAAATTATTTTTCTTCCTCTTTAAATCTTCAAATATATATGTGCAAAGTTACAACCCTTAAAAAGCATTGGTATTCATTTACCAGCCCATTTAAAATCTTAAAAGTAAAAAATCGAGAATGGAGGGGGGAGGGTTCCCGTAAAGAATACGGCTTTAAGAATATGTGAGTTCAACAAGACGGTGCCACATGCCGCGCAGCAAGAGACATTTCCTGGCCGTGTATTTTCTTGTCGTGGCGATATCAATTAGCCACCATGATCATTCGAAATACCATGGTTTTGCAGGTAAATTGCTCAGATGCCGTCCAATATGTGTTACAAATGGTCGAAAATGACCAGAAGACGTGGACCAATGACCAGATTTTCGGATTTGATTTAGCCAAAGTAAAAATATTATTGGGCATTCCATTGGTTGAAATCGGGCATTCCATTCGCCTCATGTTGGATATAAAAATTGGAAATGTTGACCATTTGTGTGGGAGGTACCAGAACGAGTGGCCCAATGGGTCCCATCTTCGAAATTGATGTAGATAATAGGTTGTACAAAGTTTCGTTAAAATCGGATAGTCCGTTTGCATGTTATTACAAAATTAATTCTTAGCACAATTTTGACCATTTTGTGGGGGAGGTACCAGAAGGACTGGACCCATATTTCCCATCTTCGAACTTATACTAAGCTTTGTGCAAAGTTTGGATTAAATCGATTATTCCATTCGAGAGTTATCGTGCGCACCAGCCAACCAGAAGACAGACAGACGGACGGACATTTGTAAATCGAGTCTAAATTTTCTGAAAAGGATTTGGTCCAAAGAAACATTGGGTGTAAAACCAATATTTCGATGAGGCAATTTTCCGTATTTTTCGAGGAGATTGAACTGAACCAAATTGGCTGCAATTTAGTATTATGGATTATCACTGAGTACCAACTCTCTTAGGAATTATTAAATCTGGTCCACAATATCCGCGTAAACTAGAAAGATCACTCGTTTAACACGCTCATATATTTTGTCTATTTGTTATAACTTTAAAAAACAAAAAAAAACTTGTAGACGAAGACTTACACCAAAAATGGCAACACCACTATTAGAAAAAAACGTTATCTCAGTGAATTTTTATA